TTTACTACTCTTTGAATAACCCTGCTTTGTTTCAAGAATTTCCATCTGCCTGAATTCTAAATCCCTAAGACAGAACCTAGGAAATTTAAGTTCCTCAGTTTCCTTTGTAGCTCAGGCACAGGCGTTTGATTAGGTGAAGCACACTCACTTGTTTTCAGCACAGAATCAGTTTTGCTGGCAGGAGTAGCATCAGTGGTTTCAGGATCAAGTTCCTCATGGAGAAGAGAAGTAGCATTGGTATGGTGGCAAGAGCAGACATAATAAGGTTGAGTTTCTGCCAACATCCGAAGTATAGCATCTTGTGTTCCATGAGGGTAAAAATGGCGGCATTTTCTTCTGGCACCCCACGAGAGAGCAGCAGTTTTTATCATTAGCCTATTTCTGTGGTATGGCTTTGGTCATTGTTCCTGGAAGCTTAGTCTCAAGCCTGCCTGGTTCTTGACAATTTGAAACAACCTGTTTAATGCCTTTTCGGCTTCTAAGCAGCCAGAGGCTGCTTCTGTGACTAGTAACCAAGACCAAAAGTTAAAGCTTTTATAGTCCACTTCCTGGTGATATGAGTTAGGCAAAATAAAATTGGCTGGGTACGGTGGCTCATGCCTGTTATCCCAGCACTTTGGGAGGCTGAGGGGGGCAGATCACTGAGGTCAGGAGTTCGAGACCAGCCCCCTGGCCAACATGGTGAAACCCCGTCTCTACTGAAAAATACAAAAATTAGCTGGGCATGGTGGTGGGCGCCTGTAATCTCAGCTACTTGGAAGGATGAGGCAGGAGAATCGCTTGAACCTGGAAGGCGGAGGTTGCAGTGAGCCGAGATCAAGCCACTGCACTCCAGCCTGGGCGACAGACAGAGCGAGGTTCCATCTCAAAAATAATAATAATAATAGTAATAATAATAAATAAAATTGAAAAAGAGGATGAATGCAGATTAAGCTAGCCCACAAAGTAGAGGTAGAAGTATTACTTTGCTAAAGGGCACGCATCTGTCTGCATCTTAGAGTCTAATTGATTAAGAGTCCCATAGTTTAGAGAGCCTTGGAGAGTTAAAAATGCTAATCGTTCTTATCCACTAAAACTAAAGCCAATACAAGCAGGGGAATTCTGAGCTGTAACATGAAATAAAGTCGATGCCTCAAGACTTCTCATTCTTCCAGACAAAGATTAGATATGTGATTCATTTACTGACTGGAGCTTACTATTCTTCATTGCTTTAAGAAGTGGTCACTAAGATAAGGGTTAGGGAGATGGGCAGAACGTAGAGGCTGCTACCAAAGGATGACAGTCTTCATGCTTATTTTTCTGTGGCTACTTATGCATGGAAGTGACTGGAAACCAATTTGAAGCTTATAAAGTTTTTGAGTGAATTTTATTACCAAGAAACCCCAGGCCTGGCTAACTCTTCACCTCTTAAGGCCACCCCTGGATCCCTAAACTCCTATTACCAGGAAGTGGACTATGAAAGCTTTTAAAGCCCCAAAGAAGGGCATCTTCCCCAACATCTCCACCTTAGAACAGTGAGGCTCAGCGGAACCTAATGGAAAAACTAGCACTGTAACCAAACATCCTTGATTTCAGTCTGGATGTGACCTTATGGAACAGGTAGTGAGTGGATGTATTCTACAGATGGAAAAAAAGATGTATATGCATTTTGCATAGCCAAAGGCGGGGAGGTGCTTGTTGTCTCTCCAGTATTTATCCTCCTGTTCTCTCTCTCTCTTTTTTTTTTTTTTTTTTTTTGAGATAGAGTGTCCTGTCGCTCAGGCTGGAGTGCAGTGGCACGATCTCGGCTCACTGCCACCTCTGCCTCCCGGGTTCAAGCGATTCTCATGCTTCACACCTCCTGAATAGCTGGGACTACAGCTTGGGCAATCCAACCGCGTTGGCCTGCTAAAGTACTAGGAGTATAGGTGTGAGCCACCGCACTTGGCTTCTCCTGTTCTTTTCTACTAACTGAAAAATTGTGTTCAGGGTGCAATGTACCAAGCAAAAAAAAAAAAAAAAAAGTTATTTTCCAGACCATGTGACACCTTTCTGGTCTATATAAACCCTGTCTATTGGGTGTTACTTCCAAGAAAGTCATTGTTTTCCTGTTTAAAAGGAATAGGCTGAACTGGCACTCTCGTTTTGCTCTTTTCTCTTCTCTCTTCTTCACATCTGGAGTGCAGATGTGATATGACAGCAGCAGTGAAGACAAAACCACTCATGGAAGGTAGCAGAACAGAAAGAGAGAAAGAGCCTGGGTCCTTAATATCACTAAGGACAAGCACTAGCCCAGAACTGCCTTAATCTGTATTTCTTTTTTTTTTTTTTTTCCTGAGACGGAGTCTAGCTTTGTCACCCAGGCTGAAGTACAGTGGCGCGATCTCGGCTCACTGCAACCTCTGCCTTCTGGGTTCAAGCAATTCTCCTGCCTCAACCTCCCTAGTTGCTGGTGCCCGCAACCATGCCCAGCTAATTTTTGTATTTTTAGTAGAGATGGGCTTTCACTGTGTTGGCCAGGCTGGTCTCGAACCCGTGACCTCGTGATCCACCCACCTCGGCCTCCCAAAGTGCTGGGATTACAAGCATGAGCCACCATGCCTGGCCTTTAATCTGTATTTCTTGATAATATGAGAAAAATTAAATCTCTTACTTATTTAAACCAGCTTGTCGGACTTTGGTTATTCAGAGCTGAACATACTCTAAAATGATATGGGTGTATTTAACCATTTATTTTTCCATTCTCCCATAAAAGTCTTGTTTCACTTTTGTAACACATGACGTTATACTATAATTTGTTGTTTGTCTAGCTGTCTTTTCCATTAGATTGTGAGCTCCTTGAATCTGAAGAGACTGTTATATATTCACCTTCATATCTTTAATTTCTTGACATAATGTCTAGCATGAAATAGGCACATATAGGTTTGATAAGTGAAACAAATTATTGCCATTTTTAACAAGTTAAAACGTACACTACAATTTATTCTCTGATGAAATCTCCATAGGTTTGGTAAAAGCAAGTGAGATATAAACAATTATTAAATAATAATTATTTAACTGCTTTTCATTTTAGTAAGCCAAATTTATCATCTGGCTAATAAGTTGGCTATTTTTAGTCAGACCAGTTCTTCTTTAATTAAGTGAAATATTCAGTTTACCTTTTGGGTTGAATTTGTTTTAGTGTTGGCTTCTTTTTTTTTTTTTTTTTTTAGAGAGAGTCTCTGTCTCCTAGGCTGGAGTGCAGTAGCATAATTATTGCTCACTGTAACCTCAAACTCCTGGGCTCAAGCAATCCTCCTGCTTCAGCCTCTTGAGCAGCTAGGAATACAGGTGTATACCACCATGCCCAATCTTCCCACCTCAGCTTCCCTCTTTTTTTTTCCTGAACTTTCTGAGAGTAAGTTGCAGACATAATGCCTATTTACCCCAAAATGAACATTTTAAAAATTATGGCAGCCCATTTGGGTCTAGATCTTCTGGAGAAATACTTTAGAGTATATTTCTTTAAGATCCTTCAATGTGTATTTCCTAAATATACAAGGACATTCTCTAACGTAACTGCAATATAATGACCAAAACCAGGGTATTAACACTGATGCAATGCTATCATTTAAATCTTTCCATTTGTCCTAATAATGTCTTTTATGGCAAAAGGAAAACAAATTCCCTGTGGACCAGTATCCTATTGGGGATCACACATTGCCTCTTGTCATCATGTCTCTTTAGTATCCTTATTCTAGAGCAGTCCTTCAGTCTTTCTTCGTCTTTCATGTCCATGATGTTTTGAAAAGTATAGGCAAGTTATTTTGTAGAAGGTCGTGCAAGCATTTTTTGATATTTTTTAGGACTAAATATCATTTTAATCTAATAATTTAAATGTAATAATTTAAATTATTAGATTAAATAATAAATCTATCTAATAAAATATAAATTAAAAAGCTATCTAATAATAAATTATTAGATAGCTCATCTAGATTCAACTCTTCTGGAGAAAAGAAGAAGAAATCATGTATCTCCTCAAAAATTTGAAACTTTTTTTTTTTTTTTTTTGAGATGGACTCTCACTGTATCGCCCAGGCTGGAATGCAGTGGCACCATCTCAGCTCACTGCAACCTCTGCCTCCCATGTTCAAGCGATTCTTGTGCCTCAGCCTCCCAAGTAGCTGGACTACAGGCATGCACCACCACACCCAGCTGATTTTTTTCTTTTTTTTTTTTTTTTTTTTTTTTTTGTATTTTTAGTAGAGATGAGGTTTCACCATGTTAGTCAGGCTAGTCTCCAACTCCAGACCTCAAATGATCATAGCGCCTTAGCCTCCCAAAGTTCTGGGATTACAGCCATGAGTCACCATGCCCAGCCAAAAATTTGTGTCTTAAGAGCTTTATCTTGACTCCAGCAAGATGTCTTACCTAGGACTCAACAGGTTTTTGTTGTTGTTTTATGGTATTTGTCAATGTGGGCACTATTGGCATTTTTGACAGGACAGTTCTTCACTATGCCAGACTGTCCTACACGTTACAGAAGGTTTAGCATCTCTGGCTCCTGCCCACTCACTTCCAGTAGCATTTTCCAGTTGATGTGAACACCCAAAACACCCTCTTTTAAGAACCATTGTTACATAAAATTTAGAATCTTTAAATTAGGAGACCAGTCTTGCTTTTCATATAGTAGATAATATAAGCAAAATTTCCGATTGTTTTCATTATCGGTAATTGGTAATTAAATGGCCAATAACAGAAGTTTTAGGTGAATTCTCTTCAGTTATTTAATTTGCTATATTTAATAATAAAGGGTTAAGTGGATCATATATGTTTTTATATAATCTGAAATGAGAATGCTATTAATTCTAATTAGAGTCAAGGATGCCACCTTAGATATCAGCTGAAATAAAATATCCCTGTAAGATTTATCTTAAAATTGGATATTTTACTATTACAAATTTTAGGGGGAAATGAGTGTCCTTGCATTTAATTCTAATTTTAGTGATGTTAATTATTCTCTTTTTTTTTTTTTCTTTCAGAACTGGTCCCTAGGAAAGACCTTCTTGTAGAAAATGTGCCGTATTGTGATGCACCAACTCAGAAGCAATGAGTTTTCTAGAATACAACAAGTCTTTGCACTTTTTAACTTTAAAGTCTACAACTCTGGCAAAAGTCCTGGAAATGCAGACATTTTTCTCTGAACTGACATATTGAAAATGAATGAATTACAGAATAGCTTCATATTTAAATTTCATGTTAAAAGGTCATTACTGAGAACTAAAGAACATAATTAAGTATTTCTAAAGGAAATTAGATAACAAAACATTTCATTTTCATTGAAAATCAAATTTCATAAAGCAAAATAAACGCTTAGGGAGATATATTCACTCTTTGACCTTGATGAGTATTTGGTCTTACCATAGCTATTTGAGAATGTGGTGCTTTTACAAATTGGTGAGTTTTCCTGCCATGTGAAATGCAATTATTACATTTAAATTATTATATTAAAATGATATTTAGTCCTAAAAAATATTAAATTAGTCAAAAAAATCAGTGTGTGCCAGCTCTCTACAGAAAGTGGCCTTTGTTTTCTAAAGCACTGGGATTATTTCTGTAGCTAATATACAATTGTACAGTTTCTTTTTAGAGATATAGAGTATCTCTGTGTTCTTACAAAGACTTTTTTTAATCAGTCTTCCGAAAATAGGTGACTTCACCTAGGGTCACTATGGAATAAAGAAATCCTAATTTAAAGAGGAAATAGTGGCCTTTGATCAAACTAAGTAATATGGCCTTAGTAGAATTAGCTGTATTTAGACCAAGTTAGACTTTACTGTGAAATGTAGTAGGTGTCTACATTCTCTTCGTTTTTATTAATGAAACTTAAATGGCTTCTCTACTTCCACATGTCCTGTCCTTGAGAAGATGGGCAGTATCACAAAAGGGCCTGGCAGTCTACCATCTAACACTAGGAACTGTAAAATCCTGTTTTTAATATTCTTGTTGTTTCTCTTTTATCTGTGTATCTTTGCCATTCTATTTTCTCAGTGAATAGTATGTTTTCTCCCATTCACTGATAAATTATCTCATTTGATGATGATACAGGGTTTTTAATTTTTGCAAGATTCTCAATGCAAGCATTGTTATGTATCTAGAAGTTATACCTAGAGAAAAATGAAAGTTGTTTCAAATTTGAAATTTGCCCTTGTAAGAGAATGTTGAATGTCATCACACTATATAATCACTATATAAATGTGCTGACTTACAGTTATTTTAGTGTCTATATGACATATTTTGAGGAAAGTTGGCTGATGTTATTTATATTTAATATATATTCTATATTTTAGTGTTATTGAATATTTTATCTCTGAGCTTTTTTTCTTTAACCTGAATTCCCTGATTCCATTTTTCATTCACATTAATTTAAATAACTCCAGATTGCTTTCTTATAGTCATTATTAGTAGCAAATGAGATTAATAATTCACATGGTTATTAAAGATAGTGGCTTAGAGATTTTAAGACTTATTGATATAGGGCTGGGCACGGTGGCTCACACCTGTAATCCCAGCACTTTGGGAGGCCGAGGCAGGCGGATCACAAGGTCAGGAGTTTGAGACCAGCCTGGCCAATATGGTGAAACCTCGTCTCTAATAAAAATACAAAAATTAGCCAGGCGTGGTGGCAGGCGCCTGTAGTTCCAGGTACTCAGGAGGCTGAGGCAGAAAAATCGCTTGAACCCGGGAGGCAGAGGTTGCAGTGAACCGAGATTGTGCCACTGCACTCCAGCCTGGGGGACAGAGTGAGACTCTCTCAAAAAAAAAAAGGTATATTGATATAGATAGGTTGATATGATATTGTACTTTCATGCCATAAGACCACACAATAAAGTTCCTGGCCGGGCACAGTGGCTCACACCTGTAAATCCCAGCACTTTGGGAGGCTGAGGCAGGCAGATCACCTGAGGTCGGGAGTTCTAGACCAGCCTGACCAACATGGAGAAACCTGTCTCTACTAAAAAAAATACAAAATTAGTCAGGCGTGGTGGCACATGCCTGTAATCCTAGCTACTTGGGAGACTGAGGCAGAAGAATCGCTTGACCCAGGAGACGGAGGTTGCAGTGAGCTGAGATCACGCCATTGCACTCCAGCCTGGGCAACAAGAGTGAAACTCCATCTCAAAAACAAATAAATAAAGTTCCTGTGAAGTATATAAACATGTCAACAACAGGCTTGATTGTCACAAAATTCTGAAAGATGTGGCACTCTATTCTTTATATAGCATATGCTAATTTATTTATTTTTTGAGATTGAGTTTTGCTGTGTCACCCAGGTTGGAGTTCAGTGGCGGAATCATGCAATTCTCCTCCCTAAGCCTCCCAAATAGCTGAGGCTAGAGGTATGCGCCACCACACCTATTTTTTTTTTTTATTTTTAGTAAGGACAAGGTCTCACTATGTTGGCCAGTCTGGTCTCAAATTCCTGAGCTCAGGTGATCCTCCTACCTTGGCCTCCCAAGGTGCTGGGATTACAGGTGTAAGCCACCACACCCTGCCTATTCTTATATATTTATATTTCAAATGGATTTTAACTGGTTATTTAATAGTTTAACTAGATAAAGTAATTCATGGCAGGGTATGGTGGCTTACACCTGTAAATCCCAGCACTTTGGGAGGCTGAGGCAGGTGGATCACCTAAAGTTGAGAGTTCGAGACCAGCTCGACCAACATGGAGAAACCCTGTCTCTACTAAAAATGCAAAATTAGCAGGATGTGATGGCGCACACCCATAATCCCAGCTAGTCAGGAGGCTGAGGCAGGAGAATTGCTTGAGCCAGGGAAGCGGAGATTTCAGTGAGCCAAGATCGCACCACTGCACTCCAGCCTGAGAGAACAAGATTCCGTTTCAAAAAAAGAAAAAAATAAAACCTTTTTACACATGAGTATCTCACCATGTTGCCTAGGCTGGAGTGCAGTATCTATTCATAGACACAATCATAGCACACTGCAGCCTAGAATTTCTGACCTCAAGCGATCTGCCTCAGGCTCCCAAGTAGCTAGGACTACAGGTGCATGCCACCATAACCAGCGTTAATTAAATGTTTTTTATTTGGTTATTTTTTTTTAAGTTTTCTGTATTCACACAAGGGGTTGCCCAAATATAGTTTTGCTTTGACTGTTGAGATCTAGTGAAAGTGGGGTATATGAATTCTAATTGCAAATATCCAGGCTCAGAGGCCCAGCAGGACTTTCTAAAACAATCTTTTAGAGGAAGTTAGAAATGGTATATAGCAGGAGAGTCGGATTTGAGAAGCATATGTAGATTCAAAGCTGAGGGAATATGGCAGGTAGTTTGTACAACATCTAATTCAGAACATTAAAATTAAGATTTTAGTCAAACTGTGTTTAAGTTGGTTCTCATTTTCCTGTAGATGCATCTCACAGCATCAGTACAATACCAAAAAAGCACACGAGAATAAGAATATGTGGAATTTCCATACCTATTGACAAAGCACATAATTTAACTCTAAATACAAAGCCATAGGTCAATAAAGAAATGAAGATTCCAGTTCTGAAGGCAAGTTTTCTGAAGCCAAAGTGGATACATGCAAAATTAATATAGTTTTACTGTATATCAGTTGTTACCAATCAGAAATGGAAACATCCTATTTATAATAGCAAACAAAACTGTAAAATAGACTTTTTAAAGTCTGGGAATAGACTTTTAAAATAAGCTATAACACTTAAAAAGGAGAGATATACTATGTTCCCAGATAGGACAATTGAAAATTCTGGAGATGACAGTTTTTCAAAAATATATTGAGGCCAGCTGCGGTGGCTTACGCCTGTAATCCTGGCACTTTGTGAGGCCAAAGGGGGCAGATCAGCTGAGGTTGGGAGTTCAAGACCAGACTGACCAACATGGAGAAACCCCGTCTCTACTAAAAATACAAAATTAGCCAGGTGTGGTGGTGCATGCCTGTAATCCCAGCTACTCGGGAGGCTGAGGCACGAGAATCACTTGAATCTGGGAGGCGGAGGTTGCAGTGAACTGAGATCGCACCATTGCACTCCAGCCTGGGCAACAAGAGCGAAACTCCCTCTCAAAAAAAGAAAAAAAATTCCTCAAAATCCCAACAGATTGACAAATACATCCACATAAAAATATAAAACTTCTGTATTCTGTGAAAGCTACTATAAATAAAGTTTAGAGAAAGTTATTTGCCACCTATGTCAGGATTAAAATAGTTAATTGATCCTATGAATCAATTAGCAAAACAACTCGATGGAAAGATGGGCAAATGATACAAATAAGAAATTCACAAAAGAAGAAATACTAAGTCTCTAGTGATGAGGGAAATGTAAATTAAAATGAAACATGTTTGTTCATCAAGTTGTCACAAGTTAAAGAAATATATCCAATATTTGTAAAGGTTGTAAGACTAAGAAAATAGGCACTGCCATATCATTTTTAAAGGAATATAAATTATATGGCCTTTTCTTTCTTTGGGCTTTTTTTTTTTTTTTTTTTTTTAAAGAGACAAGGTCTCTCCATGTTGTCTAGGCTGGACTCGAACTTCTGGACTCAAGCAATCTTCCCAACATCATTAATAGCTGAGAGTAGAGACTCGAGCCACCACACCTGACTATGGGGCCTTTTTGAAAGGAAAATTGACATCATCAAAATTTTAAATATATTCAGTCTGTTTCTCAAAAACTCACAAGAATACTAATAAATGTGTATTCAGATATATGTACAGAAATTGCTGTAGCGTTGTAATTTTAAACAATTTAAAACAGATAAGTTTCCAAAGTTAGGGTACGATGAAAGAAAAGATGGCTTATTTATACTCTGGAATATTTTCCAAGAGTTGAAAAGGATGAGGATACACATACACACACACACACACACACACACAGATTGGGTATCCCTAATCCGGAAATTCAAATGCTCCAAAGTCCAAAACTTTCTGACCTACCAACATGACTGATGCTCAAAGGAAGTGGCCACTAGAAGATTTCAGATTTTCAGATTTGGAATGCTCAACCTGTAAATATATAATGCAAGTAAGCCAAAATACAAAAAAAAAAAAAAAAAAAATGAAATCCGAAACACTTCTGATCCTAAGTATTTCAGAAAAGGGATATTCATCGTGTGTGTGTGTGTGTGTGTGTGTGTAAGCAGGTGTTGCTAGGAATTCACTTATATACAAGGAAACTATTTTTGTATACGTATTTGCATATGTATGTACGTATGGGTAGAAATGATACATGATAAATGTTAGTAGTTAATCGGGGAGGAAAAGAGATTTAGGGAAGGAAGCAGTAAATGAGAACTTTTATTCTATTTACTCCTGCACGTTTAAATATTGTTTACAGTGAGTATATCAACATGTAAGTGTTAAAAGACAATAAGCTACTAGTGATTTTTAATATAAAATTATTATAAAATATTTTAAATGTTAGCAAATAATATAGCACACTCATGAACCTAATTCCCACGTTTTACAGTTGTTACATTTTGCCATATTTGTTTAAAGGTCCAAGTCATAAAATCTTGTAACGCTAAACCCCACCCTTCTCTTTCTCCTCTCTCTCCAGGGATAATTACTGTTTTACAGTTTGTGGATATCATTCCCATACTTGTGTTTATACTTTTACCAAGTGTGTATATATTCAAAAAACCATTGTTTTGTGATTTTAAAATGTAAATTAATGGTGTTATGCTCCATGTATTCTGCAGCTTTTCATCATACATTAGGTTTTGGCGATTTCGCCATAATTTGGCATGAATTTAGGTATTTTATGTTTTATTCCATTGTAAGAGTAAACAAGTTTGTTTATTCATGTCTCTGTTGATGAGTGATAGTATTGTCTCCAGTTTTTTTATGTTGCAAACCAATTTTCAAAAAACTCCAGCACATAGATTTTTACGCCCGTGAAAAAGTTTACCTGGTTACACACCAAGAAGCAGAACTGTTGAGTCCTAGTGTACGTGCATATTCAGCTTTTCCGGAAGTTTTTAAATTGCTCTTTAAAATAGTTGTACCAGTTTACATTCCAATGGACAGTGTGTGAAAGTTCCCATTTCCCCACATCCTCACTGTTACATATGATTTTTCTCATTGTCAAACTAATGGATATAAAATGGTATATTGTTTTAATTTGCATTTCTTTATTACTGGGGAGGCAGATCGTCTTGTCATATGTTTATTGGCCATTATGGTTTTCCATTATGAATGTAAGTCTATATCTTTTGTCCTCTTTTCTCTATTGGGTTGTCTGGCTTTTTCTGACCAATCCTTTATATATTCTGGATACTAATCCTTTGTTAATTATCTTTTTCCAATATGTGGCTTGTCTTTTAGTTTATGATAAACTTGACTGGGCTAAGGGATGCCCATATAGCTGGTAAATATTAGTTCCGGGGTGTCTGTGAGGGTGTTTCTAGAAGAGATTAGCATTTCACTTGGTAGTCTCAGTAAAGAATGTCACTCTCACCAATGTGGGTGGGCATCATCCAGTTTTGTGAAGTCCAGACTAGAATCAAACAGATGAGGAAGGGCAAATTTGCTCTCTCTGCTTGAACTAAGACATCTATCTAGTGATACCACTGCTCCTGGTTCTCAGGCTTTCAGGCTAAGACCAGGACTTCCACTGTCAGTTCCCAGTTCTCAGGCCTTTGGACTCAAGCTAAATTACACCACCAGTTTTCCTGGTTCTTCAACTTGCACATGGAAGATTGTTAAACTTCTTAGCTTCTGTAACTGTGTGAGCCAGTAGCTGTAATGGATTTCCTCTTTAAGTCAATACATAGGTATAAATA